TTCATCCAAGTCGTGCACATCCACCCACTCCGCGTTGGAACCCGAGGCTGAGTCTGAGTCTGAGCCGTTGAAGAAGTCTTTGATGTCATGGTAAGCGTCCTTCGTACCGTTCTTGACGTGCTCGTACGCGTCTTTCGTGCCGTTCTTTACGTGTTCATAGGCATCCTCCGTGGCGTTGGCCACCTGGTCGATAGCGTCGCTGAACCAGCCCTTGTGGTGCTTCTTATGCTTGTGCTTAGCTTCCTGCTCCTCGCTTTCACTGCCTTCATCCGAGTCGCTCTCACTGCCTTCGTCTTCTTCGCTGTCACTGCCTTCCTCCTGTTCTACATCGTCGCTACCGTCGTCAGAGTAACTCTCGCTTTCTTCTTCCTCCTCTTCGTCTTCAAACTCCACGGAGCCATCAAATGATCCTGACGCGGAGTCCTCAAACTCCACAGAGCCGTCGAACGAGCCAGAAGCCGAAGCCTCAACGATCACGACTTCTACGTCGTCGTATGAGCCAGAGCCGGACACTGTGACGTCTACGACTTCGACATTCTCGTCTACTGCCTCTTTCTTGTGTTTCTTGCTCTTCTTCGCCGGCTTCTCAACCTCTTCTTGCTCTTCTTCGTCTTCATAAGAAGAATCAGACTCAGACTCGTCACTTTCTGATTCGTCGCTTTCGTCCTCGCCGCTCTCGCTCTCCTCGCCGCTCTCGGACTCTTCCAGCTCGGAGCCGTCGTCGGACTCCTCACTGTCGTCACTGCCACTCCAGCTGGGCTCCTCTCCCACGTCAGGTACGTCTACGAGGCTGCCGCTTCCGCTACCGACCCACACGTCCTGGCTGCTGGACGAGGACTGCTGAGTGGGAACGTCCTCGCTCACCGCTTTCTTGTGATGCCGTGCATGGTGGTGTGCGCTCTGCTCGCCTGATGCAACGGCTGCTGCTGCCAGAGCGGCCACCAGGAGGAAGAAATGTCTGCGGAACGCCATTTTGCTGTTTGATCTGAGTCCTGTAAAGGAAATCGGCGAATGATAAGTCTGAAGGATGTGACTGAAAGGCGGTCACCAGGTTTTAACCGGCTAGAGACCAGTAAAACATGACATATGGTTTATGAGAGGTTAACCGTTTAGTGAGATGAAGATATTGGTGGAAAGGTATGAGGAATATCGTGTTTAGTATTTGGTGATAGAGGTAGTGGGTTAGAAAATCAACATAAAATCCCGCCATTTCCCGAGACAATTGCACCAGAGCAGTTGCTTTGGGTGGGATGTTTATGAAGGGAATCTGGTTTAGGCAAAGAGCGTCGAGCAAACTCTCGCACAGCTTGGGTTTGTACAGCAAAACCAGAAGATACTCTGTTGTTGCTTGTGAGTTTTATTTGAAACCTCCCCGCTACAGCAACGGCTCATGGATACGTAGTTCAGTAGGCAACCGTACGTCCAACTGCCGACGATTGGTGACACCAAGTACTGTCGGCGGTTTCTGATTGAGGAGGCGCCACTGAACTTGATCTGAAGCGAGTGGATATTGCATCGCTGGCTGTTTGCAGCTTGCGGGCTGTCGGTATGATCATGGCAGCAGCCAACTGAGTTAACCCACACAACCACGTCATTGCACAGAATGATCGAATTGCGGTGGCAACAGCTTGCAGAGAGGGAAGTCAATGCGTGTAGATCACTTCGCCTAGGCGATTACTACAGTCGCGGAAAATCTGATACTGAAAATGCCCCATGGCTACATCGTGTTCCACTGGTGTGTATTTAATGTTTGGCTGTGTAAAGCTGATGTGAATATTGTGTACATTTGATGTTCCGTGTGTGTCACGAGGTTTTACTCCCCACTTACATTTAGCAAGAGGTTTTTCCTGCTAGCCGCTCGAACCCTGCGTCCCCCGCACCAAAGCACCACCAGAAGCACAAGCGGAAGCGTAGCGTCAGGAACGACCTCAGCAGCTCAGCTATAGAAACGATGCCGCCTAGCGTGAACCTCACCAAGTTCTGGGCCAAGTTCGGCCCCGAGTTCGGCCGCACCACGCGTCACCTGTCGCCGTACGAGGTGCACCCGGTGCGCAGCCTCATCACGACGATGCCGTACAAGACCATCCGTAAGATCAAGGAGAACGGCCTGGTGCTGATCCCGGCCACGGTCCTGCTGGTGGGCACTGTCAAGTGGGGAAATGCGGCTAACGACGCTGAGCACCGCACGCACTGGAGCTAAGCTAACAAGTGAACAAAGCAAGGAGAGTCCACTTAAAGCGTCGCTCTTCTCGCTGCGAAGCAGTTTGCCAGGCTGATTGAGCAGATGCAGGTATGAAGGAAAGGGATCGACAAGTTCTTCTCTATGATCGGGGTCGTTGCGAATGGAAGACAGGCAGATGAAGCAGCAGGAGGACGTCGTGCTGCCGTGTGGCCTCGTGGTCTCGTGAAATCTAGTTTCGAAGAGATTAGCACGATCGAAGCTACGAGCGTTGCGCAGTGGTGGGGTGGCCGTTAAGTACACGAAATAAGCACGAGAAAAAAAACACGAAAAAAATGAGAAGCAATATTTCATCCGGATACTGCAGCCAAGCGATGCAATGCAAGGACGCACGTAGGATATGTGCCATCGTTGAGTTCGACGATAATAGCTTTCTTCTGTCTAGCAACGTAAAGTTGCTCTGCATCCCTGGCCAACGTGGTTGAAAACTGCGAGAGCAAGTTTCACGAGCGTATGTACATGTGCTAGTAGTAGCTGGTCACCCAAGTCAAAGTTGGGAAAGGCCCCCATAATCAAGTGTGCTGGAAAGATAACACCAGTTTTAATTCTGTACTGCACTTTAATTGGCTGAAATCCCTGGAAATCCATCGACTGTCTATTTCCATCACCCTATGCTCAGAAAAAGAGCGAGTCATAGCTCAGGAAAGCAGCTCTCAGCTCTGCTTGCACCTCGAGCGGACGTCTGGGCACTCCAAGACCTCCATCCGACAGGACATGATGATGAACTCCTCGTACGCCGCACCACAGAGCCAGAGCCACGGTCTGCCGCGGTCCAAACCGAGCTCCTTCAGTTCGTCGTCTTCCATCGGCAGCAGCCACTCGTCGCAGAAGCCTCCGCACCCCATGCGCAAGCCATCCACCAAGGCTCTGATCCTGCAGCAGAAGCAGCAGGAGGATCAGCAGCGAGCGACGCTGGCCAGAGCTGACACAGCGGACGACGCGCTGCTGAGTCGGGCGACGTCAGAGACCGCACCGCAGTTGACAGCGGAAGAGGCAGCAGCGGCGCTTCGAGATCGCTCCAACTCGCTGGCGGTCATGGAGTCTATGCGCTCACATCTGCCAGGTAATGGTCATACTATGAGCGTGAAGGCTACAACCAAGCTCAAGAAGGAGATGGCCAATGCAGCCCAAGTAGTCGAGACGTTCCTGTCCCCGAAGCTGCTAAAGGACCAGTCAATTCCGCATGAGTTATTGGCGGAAGCCTATGGCCTGGTGTTTGTGACCATGTACAAGGTGGGTTTCTTGCTCTCAGGCAAGATTGGAACAGGTTTTGCCATCTCTCGTACGACCGGAGGATGGTCAGCGCCCAGCTTCTTAACTTCGGGAGGTTTTGGCTTTGGTATGATGGCGGGCGGTGAAGTTGTCAACTACATGATCGTGTTAAACTCCAGGAGCGCCGTCAAGGTCTTCACACGTAATGGCCAAGTACAGTTGGGGTCTGAACTTGACATAGCCGT